TGATAGCTAGCTGCATTGACCCTGCCCTTGATAAAACACAGTGGACCAACACCAGCAGCTGACATGGCACCCCAGACCATCACTGACTGTGGGTACTTGACACTGGACTTCAGGCATTTTGGCATTTCCTTCTCCCCAGTCTTCCTCCAGACTCTGGCACCTTGATTTCCGAATGACATGCAAAACTGAGCAACAGTCCAGTGCTGCTTCTCTGTAGCCCAGGTCAGGCGCTTCTGCCGCTGTTTCTGGTTCAAAAGTGGCTTGACCTGGGGAATGCGGCACCTGTAGCCCATTTCCTGCACATGCCTGTGCACGGTGGCTCTGGATGTTTCTACTCCAGACTCAGTCCACTGCTTCCGCAGGTCCCCCAAGGTCTGGAATCGGTCCTTCTCCACAATCTTCCTCAGGGTCCGGTCACCTCTTCTCGTTGTGCAGCGTTTTTTGCCACACTTTTTCCTTCCCACAGACTTCCCACTGAGGTGCCTTGATACAGCACTCTGGGAACAGCCTATTTGTTCAGAAATTTCTTTCTCTTGCTTGAGGGTGTCAATGATGGCCTTCAGGTCGGCTGTCTTACCCATGATTGCGGTTTTGAGTAATGAAACAGGCTGGGAGTTTTAAAAGCCTCAGGAATCTTTTGCAGGTGTTTAGAGTTAATTAGTTGATTCAGATGATTAGGTTAATAGCTCGTTTAGAGACCCTTTTCATGATATGCTAATTTTTTGAGACAGGAATTTTGGGTTTTCATGAGCTGTATGCCAAAATCATCAGTATTAAAACAATAAAAGACCTGAAATATTTCAGTTGGTGTGCAATGAATCTAAAATATATGAAAATTTAATTTTTATCATTACATTATGGAAAATATTGAACTTTATCACAATATGCTAATTTTTTTAGAAGGACCTGTAATTCTGACCACGACTCTATACATACTGACACTTCACAAATAGGGTACAATTTGGTGTCCAGTTACTTTAAAGCATTCGAAGCTCTAATTCTGTTTTGTTGTAAGAACTGTTATATGTTTTAAAAACCATTATCTGACACAAAATTTGCATGAACGACAGACAGTAGCTCGTTTCCAACACTTTAAATGTCCTTGTTTCCTTTTAAAATTGTGATTTGTCCTGTCCCGTTCATTTCCAGGCCTTGTTTTGTACCCTATTCGTTGAAGTTTTGCTGTCCACATGAAACAGTATTAAGTGCTTCTCTTACTGTCAACAAATCAAAGGTCATTTTGACAGCATGAGCTTGGCGTAAGTGAAAAGGCTTCACTGACCATGCTTGGACAGATTTATTTTTCATCTGACATGCTTTACACATTAAACATCACAACATAATCAGCATTATTGTAAAATATTTAGCAAAATACATGCTTGCTTGTTTGTTGTTTTCAGTATATACAGTGTTGGTTAATAAGCAGTTACATTTCTAATCTGTTGCTCTTCCCGGAGCTTGGCACATTTGTAACCCAAAATAGTTGTTGAGTTGACACTTTGACACCCTCTCTTTTAAAGTGAATGTGCTTCCTATTAACTTGTTCACTGGTCTTCCACGTCTAGACACTTATTCTCTAAACACTTATTATCTCTAAATACACATGTATAGAGATACTCTTGTTCATTATCTGAATCTCATGTATTTTTTTTGGGCAACCTTCTATATGTAATATCTAAAACTGAAGGTGCAATGTTTTGTAAGGTGCATTAATTCTTATTGCGAAACCATTTCTTATTCTCCTTTTGGGTGAAATTTTATCAATTCATTGAAGCTCCAGGCATCAACTTCATAAAGGGAATTAAAAAAAAACGTATTTCTGGCTCAGTGGACGGTCATTGTATTTTTTTTATTTTCTTTAAATATGTCATAACTTGAGAACAGAACAGTATTGGAAAGGTTGTATGAAAAGATTGTACATATGTTAATATATTTCATGTATATCTTTTCTTTTTTTCATCCTCTATTCGATAAAAGATCCATTTCTTTGTGAATATATGACTGTGGATTATGCCATGTACACGCGTACAATACAATAGTATGCACACACTTTCATTGGTATTAATCTGTCATACACGTGCTCTCACACACACTCACACACACTGTACTGTACACCATGACCACTGTGAGTGAAGCAGGAGGCTCTGGATTTTGTATAAATTGTACATGTGAATGATGTTACAGTTGAAAAATTTGTAGTATTGCTATTGGTTTATTTTCTATGAAAGAACATTTGTGACCCGTTATGTTTTTCTTCAATAAAATATGGAGCAAGGGTCAGTGTCATGAGTCATGTGGTAATTGTGCTCTTAAAAAAAAAAGTCTAAATGATTTATTCCTGATTGTGTTGTGGATTTTGTTCTTCTCCAGCCCACCAGAGGGAGCTATAGGCTGCAAAATAAGATCAAGGTATGTTGACGTGCTTTTGATAAGTATTTTGTAGGCATATTTAGCAGCACAAATACTGGAGATCACAAAATATTTAATATTTCATCAGATCATATCATATGAATGTCTGATTTCATGCTGTCCAGGATTAATGTTTTTGTATGTATTTCATAACTTTGTTAGACAGATGACTTTTTGTCCAAAGTACCATCCGCATATTTCTCTTGGATTAATGTGCTTCTGATATCAGATATCTCGAAATGCCACTAACTTGCCATGTTTTTTTCCCCCTATATCTTTTCATTTCCGTGCAGTTCATTTGGAAAGTGTTTTCTACTGGCATCTAAACTCATCCCTCAAAACCCATTGGCATTTGACCTGCTCTGCCAGTGAAACTGAAGACTTGTGCCTCCCAATCTTGTTTTGATGACCTACTCTTCCACCCAGATGCTGAACAAATGTTTGAGCTATCAATGCTCTCTCTCTCTCTCTCTCTCTCTCTCTCTCTCTCTCTCTCTCTCTCTCTCTCTCTCTAACTGGAAAATAACTTTATTCTAGAGCTGCCATAAAGCCAAAACAATCTGTTACTTTAATTTCCTATTATCAATGTAAAGCCGCTTTGGAACAATCTACATTGTTAAAAGCGTCATATAAATGAAGATGACTAAATGTTTTAGGTGGCTTACTGGACACCTATTTTGCACTCGCACTCATGACAAATAGGGGTCAAGTAAAGACGCATCAATAGCTAATCTTTGAAACATGATCAAACTGTGTCAGGCCCATCTGATAAGTGTAGTATCACCTTGTTGGCTGCAGTGAAAACAGTGTTCATTTAATCCCATGGAATTAGCCACCACAACAAACCACACCAAAAGTACAATGAAATATTAATCCAGTAATCCTGTCATCTGTACTAAATACGTGGTCATGTTATTTTACATATACCACGGTGCACTTATATCAACATAAATTGAATTTGTCAGTACTGTTGTGATTGAAAGTGCTTTAATGATATGGCCCAGATTCGTTGATCCCTTGTAGTTAGGACGTCAATGCTGTGCATTCAAGTGGGTGTCCTAGTTTCCGAGACATTCATATTTTGTGACTATTGGTGATTTTTTCCAACTCAGACAATTATTTATTTTGTGGCCAGTTGTCTCAACATTGCAAAGGTTTAGCGGGGTTGATGGTATCTTGCTCTTGGGTATGTTGGTGAGGATCATGTGGAGTGAGAGCCCAAAATGCACCTGGAAGAAAAGTGTGTCGCCATGTCCTCAGCCGAGGCTGACAGGTGCTCTTTTTGGGGCCGCTGGCATGCAGTCTTCTTTCCGTGTGTGAATGTGTATATGGGATTATCTCATCTTTCTCTTTAAAGACCCTGGTGAGAGAATCCAAGCTAGATGATCTTCTCCACTAAGCCCGGTCATGCACCCTCCTTGACGATTGATAGTTTGGTTCTGTAAAATGAGATTGAATCAGCTCTGCCAAAGCAAGGCATAGCAGTCATTTTATTGTCTTGCATGCAAGTTAATTTTTTTGATCACAGTAAGTAGCATTGGGTCCTTTCCTGTTGTGTCCCATCCAAAAGCCAACTGTGTCACACAGTATGTTGCTCATGATATTTATAATTTATTCATATGCCAGACGTTAATTGTGCAAGTAAAATCTGCATGGCTTTTCTGACACTTCCAAATGCCCTACTGAGAAGAGATCCTGAACCTACTGTACCTTCCACTAATGAACCTGACATTTGTTTCTTTTACAGGGATACCGGAGGAAGTAACATTTCAGACTAGTTGATATTTTTCAAAGATGTGCCACATAAAAAAGGTCAAAGGCAAGTCCTTTTTTTTCCGTTGATGCCTGCCAGAAAGGTTAAGGTTACAATATGACCTATGGGAGTATTGTGTAATTCCATTGGGCTGTGCCATGCCATTCTCCAGTGCATGTGATGTAAGAGGAAAGCTGTCTGTGGTCACAGCATGTGTTCTATTTGCCTGGAGATTTACAGCAGCACAGGAGTAAACATGAATTAAGAGCACTGAGCGACAAAAATAAACAACAGCAGCTGGAAAAGCGATGATTAATGACCGCTTTCATGAACGCACTGGAGAAGAGGTACTGTCCAAATCTTTTTGTTTCCCCTCGATTCATGTAAAATGTGGATGTTTTGAAAGCTTTGATATTTTCAGGACAGCCATTGCATTCAGGATATAAACAAGTGTGATTGAAGTCTGCAGCTGTGACGAAGTCAGAAGGTTTGCATGCAATTTCTGATTTGTAGCATGCAATAGAAGGCAATGTTGTTCTCCATTGAGGTTCTCACTGTTATTCACACCATCTCTCACTTTCAGGGCAGTAATCTGTATGCGCACAGCCCCATGTTAATCGTCACATGCATCACCATGGCAATGGAGACAGAATATGAAATAAGACACTACGCAGACTGAATCAAAGGACAATAACAAAAAGAAACCGAACGTGATTAAATGCAAAAACTGTTGCCAACAAGTCATTAGCTGTTTATCCAGGATGGAAGAAGACTTGCAACCACAGCCTTGGGTCAAATGTGTTATGGGAATCACAGTTCAAATGTCACCCAATCAAGAAAAGAAGCAAATGGCCCAAGATACAGATCAGCACATAGTGTACATTTGAATTAAAGAATCAGAATTCCCTTCTGACTGTGGGTTAACCGAGTGGTCTACACCTCCCCTTCCGTCGTCACATTCCCCTCCCCTCTCCATGCCCCCAGCGCTTCGCAGTCTCTAGTTCACTCGTCTCTATTTACCTCTTTGCTAATCCCTCACATCGCGCTCTCTCTCTTCCACACATTCTCTCGATCGCTGTCTCTCCTCCCCTTTCAAGCTCAGAGCCAGCGGGCTGCCACACGACCCACACTGCCTGCTACATGATCTCCTGGAAAACAGAGCTCCGTGTCTTTGTAGCCACTTGCTGCTGCTCAAGCCTTGGTAGATTGCAATCTAGGAGACAAGGAAAGATGCCTTCGCGACAACCCTGACTCCTGTCATCTTCAGATGCGACCCTGTCCCCTTTCCTAGTATCTTGCCCCCTGACCCTTTACCCCATCCCCTCTCCTCTACCCCTCTCCAGACCTCCCTCACTTAATCCCCCCCCCCCCCCAATCTTCCCCTCACCTCGCACCCTCTTGACAATGTTCTCATGTGTTCGTTGGCTTCAGCCTTTCCTTGCCTTGCTATCCTCTACCTTGTTAACTTGGGGGTATAACTGCCCATCTAGCTGCTTGTGTCCGGACCATCACACCGTGGACTGCACAGGTCAAGGACTCACCCGTCTTCCAGACTCTATCCCTTTGGACATACGGAGACTCCTTCTGTCTGACAACTGGATTTCCTGGATCCCTTCTGATTTCCTGGTTCTCTACAGTGATTTGGTCTACCTGGATCTAAGAAATAACTCCCTAACGAGCCTGGAGCCTGGGACTCTGAGTACATCCTCCAGACTGGTCTATCTAGACCTGGGGAGCAACAACTTGACTGAGATACCCTCTGGAACTTTTGGGGAGTCCCGTAGTCTGATCAAGCTACGGCTGGGGAACAATCCGTATTTGAATATGATCAGCAAGGACGCCTTCTTCGGCCTCACCTCCTTACGAGAGCTCGAGCTGGAGAGGAATGCCCTCTCTGGCCTGGACGTCGGGGTGTTGAGCCAGTTGCCTTCCTTGCGGATGATACGCCTGGAAGGGAACCCCTGGGTATGCAATTGCAACTTTGCCAAACTCTTCCTGTGGCTGTTAGAAAATCGTCACAAGCTCCCAACTGGTAAGCTTCTTAAATATTGCTTTCGTGATCTGCATCCATCTGCATGAAATAATGTCATACTATTTTTTTCTAATAAACACTAGAAACCTTTTCAATCACTTGAACCCTTCACCGTGTGTGGTGGTTCACCTGTGGAAGATTCAAATGGTCAATAACAGATCTATTTTCTGACTAGGTCATACATGTGGGTGAACTGATTTTGTTTGGGATAGAGACACACTTTAGGTGATCACTAGAATATGCAAAATATTCTTGTGCATAATTCATGAAACATATGCCACACAACATGTTCCCTAATTTTTTATCTCATGTCTTGTTCTCTTGGTTGACGTTAATGTGAGTGGTAACTAAAGGAAAAAAATAGGGAACTGTACCCTCTTGTATACAGTATCCGTTGGTCATTAGGTCACTTACCACTAAGTTTAAGGTCAAGACAGCTACATCAAATATGAATGCATGGTCCTCACAGTCCCTTAGAAGCACATGTCACTTTTATCCCCCTCTGTCTGTTTAAGAGACCAATGTAACATTAAGTTGCATGTTACAAACATGTCAATATAAAAACAATTTGTTTGGGTTTTGGTCACACATACATTATATATTGTATACTGTTGGAAACTTAACCAAATATTATGCACATTTGAGAAATGTTACTTTCTTAAATCATAGTTATAGATGTGAATCTTCCTGATAGGCTTAAACTCCATATTTAGGGAAAGATTTCCTTAATATTCAGACTATTTGAAGTTTATTTAAATAATTCTGTAGCTTATGATTTGTAGCAAGAGGCTAGCATCATATATGACTATTGTTTTTACATTTATATGCAAACATCTGGCAGACACTTTTACTGAAATTGACATTGTATTCAAGGTATACATTTGATCAGTTCATGCATTTCTTGACAATTAAACCCACAACCGTGGTGTAATGTAGCTACATAATGCTATAAATGCTGGGGGGTTCGATTGCAGGAAAAAAATACTATAGTTTTTTACTGTAATTCTAACAAAAATGACAGTCCTTTAAATACATCAGAATCCACCATAATGTAGTCTTTAATTTAGATAGTCTAGTTTAAACTCCCTTACAGTCTTGTAATTCTGGCACTTGGGTATGGATGAACACGTTACATCCATTATTCAACCCAACATTGAATCTGATACTGATGATAGCACACCTCGGGCACACTTTCAGTTGCCTGGTAATTTGATGTTCAGGTGGATAATCAAGAGCAAGAACCAAGATTTCCACCAAAATGTAAGCAAAGCATGTGTAGTGACATCCACATATGTGACAGGCGCACACACAACTCTTTAAACAACCCTCAAAGGTCAAAAGACAGAGCCTGAGAGGTTACCACATCATATAATATCACAATGAAACCAACAATTTACCACAAGATAAAGCATGCAGTTATAACAAAAAAGGATGGAATTGTTCAGGCTCATGTAGCCTAGGATTTTGAGCACACTAATTAAATGTATTGAATGAATTCAGTGTAATCTGAATGGAGTGACCTAATGATAATGATATTCATACATTCAGCTTTATTACACACCAGAGGTGAAGCTTTGATTCATTTCATTGTTGCGAACACAAGAACATGGCTCGCGTTACACATATGTGGTGACAGCAGGCAATACGACACTAGTCGGCTGACTGAGCTTGTGGCCGCTGTGAGAATTTTCTAAATGGGTAAAACCATGTGCTGCATGCGTGTTAGCCATTTGTGATTTTCGCTTTGGGGATCTCCAGTGTAAAACACTGAAGCTCTAGCATGATGAAACGTCAGATGAGCTCTTAGAGATGGGCAAACGGCCACGTGACAGACTCAACAAAGGAGGCTGAGGTCACTGAATCCCCTGCATGTGGAAAACCCCTTCTGGATGGAGTGACTCATCCACACTTATTGCCTCACACGTTTGATGATGATGTGAACTGACTTTGGCGAATGACATGAACAAACATGGTGGTGGCATTGTATTATGACATGGACGGTTATATTAATGAGAATGGCATTTCTTTTATTTTAATTCAAAAAAAAAAAAATCTCTCTCTTTCTCTCTCCTAGAATAATATGCTCCTAAAGAGCTACACAGAATCACAAGGGGTTTTGAGCGTGAACGCAATTAAAGGAGAGATGGGGCTGTGGAGCTCTGCCGCTCTGTTGTGTCTGTCTGTCAGCGTGGCTGTATTATGTAGGCGATGTTCCGCTTTAAATCTGTCATCTGGTGTCCGCTGATCACACGGCTGAAAGGAGATTAAAACTCCCTCTGTGAAAATCCAAATACAAACCAACAAGGAAAATTTCACAAATGTTTCCCATAAAGAGAGGGGAGGGGGGGATTGGAAAGCATCCCATCTCACATCTTATCATGCCGTTATGTAATGGGAGTTTTCTGAGTCATATCTGCAACCGTGTTTTTAGATACAAATTTTTTCAAATAATAATACCACCATGCTACAGTACAGGGAATATTTCTGTATACTGGCTCTATCATAATATGTTTATTTCTGTAACATTATAAGTACTTTATGTAGTCATGTGTATACTATTTTTGAGTGGAAACAAAGATTTGTCATTGGTAATGACATTAAGATTTTGATATTTTTATTTAGATAATTTGCAGAGACCTTTGAGTTTCTGTTGCGGCTAGGTTTTCAGATTTGAGCACTTTGTGTTCCAGTGCAAACCAACCATGAATTTGGAAAACAACCTCATTCTAGGTAGAGCTTACCCATCATAAAAGCACTTGAATGAAATACTGTTATGTTATTACACGTTCAGCTGGATATATAGCCTTGTGTATGTGCGTGTGTGTGTGTGTGCGTGTGTGTTAATGAAGTCCACTTGCTCATTTATTATCCTTTGAAGCGATACACTGTCTGAATATGTGACCATCAAATGGCATTAAAGAGCTGAACAAAGAGAAATGAAATGGGGTTTTAAATGGGAAATATAAACTGAAACGGGCAGGACAATTAAGTAATAAGTTTAAAAACAGCTGAACTTTCTTTTAATTTTCGATACACAACATTCAAAAGTTCATTAAATATTTTTTAAAGAATATAGGCGCTCACTAAGACTGCATTGATTTGATCAAAATACTGTAAAAACAGTTCTATTTTGAAATATTAAAATGTTATATTATATAATAGGCCTATATATAATAATAATATTTAATATTAAAATCTCAATTTAATATATTTTTTACTATAATTTATTCATGTGATGCAAAGCTGAATTTTCAGTGTATACCTGAAATGTTTGAAAATTTCCGTGCAAATTGGCTTTCATTCGGTCATATGATGTAATGGATGGTTGAGATTTTTAAAGAATTACAAAACATGGTGATTTGTTCAAACTTCGATAATGTTTGTGCATGATATTGAGCAGCTGAGGATGCTTGTGACATTAGTGACCTGTCATGTGAGCTGGTTCGGAAACTCATACAAGTCCGGTAACTGAACACTGGTCATGAGAGATCAAACTAAATGTTCCATGGACTCTTCACCTAAAGATTCACTGTACCTTTTTTTTCCAAGGCATTTCTTTTGAAGCTGTCATATAATGAGAAATGACATTCATTTTAAGTAAAATGTTCTATGAAAATATACTGTATATTTTGTAATTCTAAACTTACCTCCCTAGTCCAAAAACACAAAAATAACACAATAACAAAAAAAAAAAAAAAAAAAACTAAGCTTGTGTGTGTGGGGGGCCTGGTAAACGCTACATTATAGGGACAAAATGTCCCCACAAAGATGGCAATATCCATAAAACTTGGACATTTGTTTTGTCCCCATGAGGAAAACAGCTTATAAATCACACAAAGGGATGTTTTCTGAAAATGCAAAAATGCTGAAAGTTTTGTGTGATGGGTAGGGTTAGTGTAAGGGGATATAATATACAATTTGTACAGTTTAAAATCATTACGTCTATGGAAAGACGTGTGTGTGTGTGTGTGTGTGTGTGTGTGTGTGTGTGTGTGTGTGTATTAGGGCTGTCAAGCAATTAAAAATTGTAATCTAATTAGTTACTTGAAGTTCCGATTTATTAATCGAATTAATCGCACATCAATTTTGGCTGTGCAATTAAGTCATTCCTGTTAGATGAGAAAAGCATTGAAAGGCATTACAAAAAGTAGCTTTAGAAAGACGTATTTTGATTCAACGTAGAATCTACACAAACTTTTAAGGCTAAAATGTTGCCATAACATTTTTTTTTTTTTTCTGGAGTGTGCTTTTTTTTTTTTAAAGCAGCATCTGAAGTCAGTTGTTGTCCTGCATCATGTTCGTTACTAAACTGTATACAATGTTAGAAGACATTCAGGTCTGGGCTGGGGCGGGGAGCATTCAAAGCATTAATAATGTTTATGTATGTATGTATCTGTGTAATTTATCTGTCTATCTAAAGTGAAGTGGAATAAAATATCAAAACTTTTTTTTTAATAGTTTTTTTGTAAAAAGTTTATTTTCAGAAAGTGTATTTATTTTCCACGATAATTTTTCCCCCTCTATCATGTCTCTTTTACAGGGTTAGAGGGTATGGAGTGCTCTCTTCCAGTGGACGGGCGGCAGGTGTCACTCAGTGAGCTTTCTGAGGACAGTTTCCGGGAGTGTCGGGGATTGCTGACTCTCACTGATTATCTTATAGTGATTTTTTCTGGAATTTGTATTTCGGTGGCAGCCATTATTGCCAGTTTCTTTTTGGCTTCCACTATCCACTGTTTTCAGCGACTCAAATCCAAAAGGACAGATGAAGAGGAGGCAGAGGAATGAGGGGACTTACTGGACAGAATGGAAGTTACAAATTACCCATAATTCAACACAGGGGAAGCCAAGGGATTGGATGAAGGGGTGAATCACCTTATTTCCATGACAAAAGAACCCTGAATCAGGCCCCTGTGCAACTAAGGTGAGGCTGCTGTCTCGCATCTCGTGATTCACAGCCTTCATCCGTGTTGCTTGCAAGAAGCATCATATTTTTATACTTGAACACCAATGATTGAATTGAGCCTTAAGACTAAAACTGTTCCTGAACATGCAGTTTAAGAAACCACTGTCTCATGCCCCTATATTCAAAAGTAATCAGCATTATATTTTGACATCAGACAGCAACAATGGTCTTTTTATGAGATGTGCAAGTTAGTATTTTCTACATGAGTTATTTTTGGTATTGTGTACATGAATCTTGCTCTGTTGTAGTAAGGTTTAGCTACTTGCACTTTAAAGTACATAAGACACACACAATCCCAGTGAGCCATACTGTAAGCCCTTTTTCATAAACCATAATGGCACTTATCACCAAAGAATTAACATAAAATGAGCATACATTGTAATGTAAATGTTTTTCAAGAGAAGGGTTCAAAATACCATTATAAATATTGTAAGACATGTTTGGCTGTTGTCTGTAACCTACAACAACTTCATAAATGTCATACTCTTAATATAGTAGTTGGAGATGGGTCAAAATTATATATAAAGTAATCAAGGTATTTTAAAGGCTAAATTAAAAGGGAACTTTTTGTCTTTTTATGTCAATTCTGTCTAGTTAATTCTTTCCTTTTTTACTTTATGTTATGACTAAATAAACATTGACGCCAAAGTGTTTGAAATGATTAATATCATGTCTTAATCTTTTCTCTTTTTTTAAGCATATATAGCCTACCTGATCCCAATTCTGATAACTTAATTGTAATGGTAAGAAATGATGTATCTGGTGAGTAAATCTTGAGGTAAATTATTTTCATAGTCACACGCTGGCTTGACGCAGAAGGACGATTAACTCACATTTAATAAACACCAGGAACCATACAGAGATACACACCAGCACAAAACGTCAACACAAGACCATGAACAGAAGATAACTAAGGGTTTAAATACACAGATGATGAGGAACAGGTGAGAGATGAATCAATGAAACAATGAATCACCAACCAAGCAAACAAATTAAACAGGAAAAGGGAAAGTAGGCAAAACAGAACAAAAAAGAACTTCAAACTAAGAGTCACAACACACAGACCAAAACAGACTATATATTTCATTATACACTTTTTTTAGAGCTCAAATATTTATTTTCTATAAAATCTCCTCTTCATACTGTCTTAAGCCGAAGCAGTCCTGCTTTCTGCCACCAAAATAACAGCAAGTTCCTGCAGGTGCAACCAATGACATGATATATCATTCCTCCTTTTCCTTTGACCCAGAAAGCCCTGGAAGCTTTCAAAGTGCAAAGCAAACAATGGAGCAAATGCAGTTCCTTTATGTAATCTCATTTTGCTTCTACCGCACATAGAATTTAGTTTTTTAGGTTGCTGGGGGATGTTTTTTTCTCTCCCGATGAGAGCCTCTAAAATCAAGCTTAATACAATATTTGCTGTTGATGTCAGCTATCCATGACTGAGCAACGGTGACGTTTGAGTTTTACTGCAGCGTCATAAATGAAACCGACGGCAGAGAGCTAGACTCCACGATTACCCCCCGAGATGGGAATGAGAGAGGATGGAAAACGTACTATGCTTATTTGTGCTCATTTCTCCCCACTCATTTTCTATCTAGATGAAAAGTTGAATGAGACAGAGGGTAGAATTTGTCAAAATGAGGCTATATTCCAACATCCAGATCTTCTTGTTGCTATGGTTACGTGTCTGTGGGCCAGTTGAGTTGAATTCAGACACCGCTATGAGGATGGGTTTTGAATATTTGACTAATCATGTCTCCTCCTGTCCCTTGCCATTTCTCAGTGACTCTTGCCGTTCCTCTCCTCAAAATTGCCTTGATTTACAGCATGTCCATCTTCCATGGTTGTACTAACGTTATGAAACTAACATTCCCGTGTTAATCATACTGTTTACTACTTTCCTTAGTATGATTTGGATGGCCATTCTTTAGAAGAGAAATAACAAAATTAAATATTAATAATTATTTTTATTAAAAATATATATTAATGCGCAGCATTATAGTTCACCCCAAAATCAATCAATTTGTTCCAAACCTATATGAAGTTCTTACTTCGGTTGAACACAAAAGAATATATTTTGAAGTAGGCCAATGTTGGTAACCAGACAGTTGATGGCACCCATTGACTTCCACAGTATTTTTTTTTCTACAAAAGATTTGTTTTACAAAATAATTTTTACTTTAAAATGACTATAAAGTCAAGTTGTGTTCCAAATTTAAAGTTGATATCACAAAAATTTAAGTTCCTATGATATTTTGTTTAGCCACCGGGTGTCACCCAGATTCCATTGATTTTTTTATGCATTCTCCTGTAACAAATTAATCAATTTCTGTCCAAATTTCACTTCTATTACAAAACAGTAAGTAAGTAAGTAAATTTTATTTATATAGCACATTTACACATAGCAGGGCTATCCAAAGTGCTGAACAGAGTAAAAAAACTAATCGAAAAAAGAAAACCAACCAAACAGAACAGACAGAAATAGCATCAGGAGAAAATTAAAATGCCAGGGAATAAAAATAAGTTTTCAATTTAGATTTAAAATAGAAATTGAAGGTGCAAGGCAGAGGCAATTGGTTCCATAGACGTGGGGCGGCAACAGCAAAGGCTCTATCTCCCTTAGATTTTAGACGGGAGCGAGGGATAAATAAAAGAGCCCTGTCTGAAGATCTTTATAAAGATCGTGGATGACAGAGGAGTAAGAAGATCTCTAATATATAATGGAGCTTTATCATTAACCCCTTAACTGTCACCGCCCCTAGCGGGACACTTGGTGCTCTTTTTTTATCGCCTTTTTTTATATCACATATTTTAGTAGTCATCATAAATTAGGTATCATTCAAAATCTTACGAACTCAAAATTCATCTTATGAAAATCGTTTTGAAATTGGATGTTGCTTTACCATGAAAATGGTACTCTAAATTATTTTAGCGGGCTCATCCCCTGGTGGGCAGTGTCAGGTTTCATATTACAACATTTATTTACTTATTAACTTTATAGTCAAAACCTTGACAAAATACATATCGTCGGAAAGGTCTGAGTCTCAAGGCTCCATATTTGGTGACTGGTTTTTCAATTATTGTCTTTGGCCCACCACAACTGAGACTTAGTCCTATTAAGGAACTGGGTAACCATTTCCCCTCAGTTTCCTCTCAGGTCAGGAACCTTGCTGTCATTCTTGACTCTGAATATGTTTACCTAAACAAATTAATTCTGTTGTAAAGAGTAGTTTTTATCAATTGAGGTTAGTTTCCAAACTCAAATCAATTCTGTCATTTTCACGATTTGGAGAAGGTTATTCATGCTTTTATTACCTCACGCTTGGACTACTGTAATTCATTGTATTTAGGTCTTCCTCAATCATCGCTTGCTCGACTCCAGATGGTACAAAATGCATCTGCAAGGCTGCTGACGGGGACAAATAAATACAATCATGTCACCCCCATTTTAGCCTCGCTTCATTGGCTCCCGATCCATTTTAGAATTCAGTTTAAAATTCTGTTGTTTGTTTTTAAAGCCCTTAACTAAGGGGTTAACTAGTTAAGACTATACCAAAATGCATGTGTAAGCTGTTTTAACTGAAAGCAACTTGCACTGACATATCTTAAAATAGGCTATATCAGTGGCATTATTTTGTCTCAAGATGCACACCAGTAATGTTTTTTTCCTAGGCACATTTATAAAAGCTACTTAAAAGTCCTAAGCCCTGGCTTAAGCCCTGTCTGTGAAAATAGGCCTAAAACTCATAAATTATTTCCTATCGATTCAATTTTAAAGGGTGAGGGACAAAGGTTAGAACAGCATGTCTAATGAACATGAAGGCATGTGCCAGGTATGAAGGTATGTGTCAAGGCCTGTTTACTTGAACAGGGCCAAGATTGTTTTACATTCAGGGCAAATGAAACTGATCCTCCAACTGTCCACTCAACCAATGGTGGACTATGACCTGAGAACGAAATCCTTTACAGATCCATGAAAACAAGAGCAACATGACCCTGCATCCTGAGCCTCTTTACCATTGCTGACACCGATGCTGGTTACAATGATGAGTGTGATTACAGCAAAGCAAAAAAAATGGTCTGTCAATACTGAGTAAAAGGGGGAAAATACATCTTGTTCAAGGTTTCTAAATCCATTGCCAAGTGTAAAATATATATTTGCTACATTAACATGGTTTGGGGCAGTGGTTTTCAACTGGCTTTTCTGATCATGAAAAAAAGACAATACAAAATGCAGATTATAAAATACAACTAATGATATAACTGTGCACTTAGTTTATTTTTTTTATTTACATAGGGAATGAGAAAACTCTTTGCATATCTTTATCATAATCCAATGTTCAATGTATATGACACTCTGACTAATTAATGTATTTTGGTACATATTAGTCCAGTCATTTTATGAAAAAAGGTTGAACAAATTGCAACAGAAGCAAACTCAACTGATTTTGTATCCTCAATATGTCCTGAGTAAGGGGAAAAAAAGCCCAGAAGAATCCCATTAGGGGAAAGTTTCTAAAAAAGACCCAAATATAGCCTATTCATACGCCTATTTATTCTTTTTCTCACGTGAATAGGGTAAAAATTTTAACAGTAACACTTTACAATAAGGTTCATTAGTTAACATTAGTTAACTACATTAGTTAGCATGAACTAATAATGAACTGCACTTATACAGCATTTATTAATCTTTGTTAATGTTATTTTTCAACATTTACGGATACTTTATTAAAATCTTGTTCACATTAGTTAAAGCACTTTGAACTAACATGAACAAACAATGAACAGCTTTATTTTGAAATTAACATTAGCAAAGATTAATAAATGCTGTATAAGTGCAGTTCATTATTAGTTCATGCTAACTAATGTAGCATGAAACCTTGAACAAGATGTATGCAAACAAGGTTAAAATGGTAACACTTTACAATAAGGTTCATTAGTTAATGTATTAACTAACATTAACTAACCATGAGCAATACATTTGTTACTGTATTTGTTAAACTTAGTTAATGTTACTTAATACATTAACTAATTAACCTTATTGTAAAGTGTTACCATTTTAACCTTGTTTGCATCTCATAAAGTATATATATTTTTAGGCATATATTTTTAAGACATTCCCAAAACATTGCTATAGATTTTATATAAATATAAGATATTTATATAAATATATTTTGATACATTTTTGTATTATATATTATATATTCTTATCCATATTATTCATTTATCATTTTTTTCTGTATTAACTCTTTGAATTCAGGTACTCATGTATTAACCTCAGCATATATTCAAGTATTTAGTTCATCATCCATGTTTAGCCAATTTTATTCTATTCCAGTTTATCCACTTTTAATTCACATGCATTTCTAATATTATGTTATTTGTATTAAAAATGAAAAAATAGATCTTTGTTTTACTTTCTGTTATATTGGATGCATTCCAATGACTGAATGTTTCTTAGAATTGACAGTTCAGTGTACGAGAGGTACTTTTCCAGGTATTTGGTATTTGAATGGTATTTGAAAAATGCTTATGCTGTCTTTCTTCTGAAGGTGCCAAAACCACTACAGGTATATCTATTTTGTCTATTTTTGCAGCTGTAACATTTGACCGGGTCAACACCGATGAAGCTGCTACACCAACGTCTGACATAATGGA